CCACTGGGCCGGCGCGGGCGGGTGGGGTCGAGGGTGGAACAGGTGGGGGGAGGGCGAAGGGAGGCGACAAGGAGTGCGAAGGGGAGCTGGGCGATTGTGTCAAAGGGACGGGGGGCGTGCGAGCGTGCGTGCGGATGAGTATTTGAACCAATGACCTGAGCGCGCACGAGACGCGCACGCACGCGCACGCAGGTGTGGGCTTTAATGGAGGCCCGGGGCCCCCTTCCCGAGTCAAGCACTCGCGCCCGCTAAATTAGATTACCGCGTTTGCATCAGAACCCTTCTCTTCTCCCTGCTTCTCTCCCGGCCAAGCTCTCTTCCTCTCCGGCACACACACACACACACACGAGCGCGCGCACACACACACAACCTCTAGGAAGCCCCGCGCAAATGGAAAATTTCAGATTTCTCTCTACTTTCCCTACAGCAGGCGTTCTGCTTTAATTGTCCTTGTGGTTCGTTCAGAGTAATTTTACCTTTCCCCATGAACTTACACATTACTATTTATAATATCCCATTTTTCCAACGCTTGGAGATACAGATTGAGCTAAAGCCTGGACTATCCAACTTTCCTTTTTATGAACTTACACATTTTTCTGCAAAAACACAGTCAAACAGATTTTCGATGAACGTATTTTAATTATTTCCCATGGATGATATTCCTTATGGTTGCGCTGGCCACCTCCTGAATCTCACACACACTCTTACTACACTCGGCGATCGGGGTTAAAACGGCTGAGCGACGCACAGAGGAGCCGAGGGGCGGTCGGGGCGGCCAGGGCGGCGGCCGGAGTGCCACCAAGTGATCGTCGAGGGCGCGGGGGAGAGCAGAGGGGGAGGGAAGGGGGAAGGGCAGGGGGCACCGCAAAGTGCTCTCATGATCGTCGCCTGCAAAGTTCAGCGAAACACACGACGGAGAGCAAGGCGGGGGAAAGATGTGCTATCGCGTACAAAGAGACCAACTTTCGACTTTCCTTTTTCGTTTTGCCGTTCTTTCTATTTCAGAGGAAAGAGAAAAGAGCATCGACGACGAGTTTGAACGGTGGTGACTAGCTCGACACAAAAGAAAACTGGAGAAGGGCTACAGCAGACTACAAAGAATGCATCGGGTAGGCGAATAAACGGCATAACAAATGGCCGATGACGCGCGTTTCGCACTGTGAGGTATCAACAACAGGTATCTACCCCTTCCTCTCGCACCCCTCCGGATGAGATAAGGAGGCGGAGCAACTAGGCGCTCTGCAAGGGCCGAGGTAAAACATTAGAATGGTGGGCACGATGACTGATGATAGCGAGGGATGTTATCCGCGCCAAGGACTCTTGTGATGAGCCGGGAAAGGGAGGGGGAGTGAAAGAGAGAGAGAGAGATAGAGAGAGAGACGAGGGAAAACAGAAAACCAACCTAGAGGGTGAGGGCACTGTCGACACGGATGTAGAGCACAGAGAGGAAGAGCGCCTCAATGGTCTCCGAACGAGCGCGCAAGAGAGAGAGAGAGAAAAAATGAGAGAGAGAGACAGAGGGGGATAGAGAGACGTGGGGCGGGAAGGGAAGAGTGCGCCTCCGCTCTATTGTCAAGGGGTGGGTGGTTAGTGATTATGAGCGATGAAGCACCAGAGAGCCCAAAGGCCCGGGACAGGGGGGAGCAGCGGGGGGAGCAGTCCACAATGGTGCCACCATGGCCACTGCCAAAGTAAATTGACTCCGATATGATGGAGAGAAAGAGGTGAAGGGTTGGGGGGCATAACGTGACGCGGCATACGCGCGCCTGTCACCGGCCCTGGCGCCAGCGTCAGACGCACTGACTGACAGACGCACGCAGTGCAAAAAGCGACTGCCACAACTGTAAAAATAAATTCGCCAGCAAAGCTTTACCCGAATCTGTAGGAAGAGGGGGAGAAAGGACGTGCTGCTTTTCTACACCACCATAAGATGGTCTCCTGTTCGGCCTTTGTAGTGGCACCCTCTGCCTGTCCCCCGGGCACAACACATGCACCGTGTAACATCCGGGCTCCTGGCATTCCTCGCCCGCCCTGCTTGAGGCCCCGCCAGTCGCGCCTTCCTTGGACCCGGCAAAGCCTTTGAGACGGCCCGGCGCAGGCCCAGCCGGCCCCAGCGCGCCTCTCCAGGCCAACCCCACCCCGCCACGCCCCGCAGCAGCCGGGCTCCTGGACGGATCCACCCGAGCCTGGACCCGCCCAAGCGAAGCGCCCCCCGGACACCTCCGGGGCCGGCACACCTCGGGACCCAATAGCCGACAACATGTCAGCTTACGCCTCTTACGCCTGTCCTCCCTCCACTCCGGCCTCAGAGCCTCGCTGTCCGGCCCGGCTATGGGCGACATGCGGTGTGCTGGAGCACCACCGGGCTAGGAGCTACACTGCGCAAGCAGGGCCCCGCATGTGTGAACCCCACGACGCGCAGTTCAGACGCACACAAGAAAGGGCGCCCCCCGCCTCGAGCCGCGGCAAATGAATCCCATCAAGGCCTTCCGTAGCTGCCGAGGACGACCCCCTCCCTTTCCCGCCGAGATTCTCTGCTCCCTCCCTCCCTCCCTTCTCTCTCTCTCACACACAGCGAGCTGCAGCGAGGGGAGGGTGCGGTGGATGGGGTGGTGTCGCAGAACCTCCCAGATGGGAACCGCGCCGCACTGACTCTGAAATGTTAACAGCCTCCCGTGTCGCTGGCTGGCGAGCGCCTCCATGTCCTCCCTTTTTCGCCCGCTCCTCGCCTCCCGCTTCCCACGAGCTCTTCAACCAAAGACATATTTGTAGGCCTTATTCTTCATCTTGAAGGGCAGAGACAAAAAAGAGACCTTGTCACAACGTCTGTCAGCACACTCAGGTGGCAACTCAGGTATTTAAAAAATGTCAAATAGAAATACTTTCGAAAAAAAAAAATAAGTAGCAAAAAATTCACACGGTTACCCCCACCCCTCCCAAGTGTGCGAATCAATATTTACACAACTACAAGTGTGCGACATTCACATTCACACGACAACAAGTCTGCGACATTCACGCAATTGCGTTTCCAGTAAGCAGCTTGTCAAGTTTTTTTTTGATGAAATATTTATTTTAGGTTACGCCTGCTTTACATAGTATACTAAAACCCATGTGTAATTTTAAAGTCCTCGTGGTTTTGATTCAGGTTAAACCTAACTGCAGATTTTTAAACCAATTTTTGTCGGGGAAATCTTGCATGCAAGGTTCTGAAATAGTCAACAAAAAAATCTGAGAAAATGCCAAAAATAAAGCATCACTCTCGCATCACTCTTGTTGTGGTGGCGAGTGATGTTCTGGGTGTTGAACGAGTTTCGTGCAGTAGGCCCTGCGTGTCACAGACAAGAATGCCGCTCAATTTTCGAAAAAAATAAAATAAAGAAGCTGTCCCGGAAGTAGATTGGTATGATATGTGGTGTGAAATCTTGCTACCAATCTTGTTTTTACACGACAACCGTACCCGCATCTGTCTCGCCTGCAGGCACATGGCATGGTCGCACTTTAGTCGCAATCACGGCAGGGCGGGCGGGCGTAGACTGACGGCTGTCACATCTGAGAAATTGCTTAATTTGATGAGAGCTAATTAATTAGCTGTAGCAACTAATGGTTAGTTGTGAGAGACAAGAGTCAGCTGCTACGGCCAAGATGTAGCTGCAATAGCGAATGCGTTAGTTCCAACACCAATTCGGTGGTTAGTCAACAAAACAAACCGGTTGGCTGCTGTAGCATCAGCTTGGCTGTAGCATCTAACTCTGAGCTCTGGCAACTAATTATTTGCTGTCATAGTTGATTTCAAATTGTCTGTCATTAACAAGGGGGAAATCACTCCAGATTTACGATTTAGTACGTTAGTACACGTTAGTACACCCTATTTTTAGCGTCATTTTACAAATGTTTACAAAAGTTTGTTATTACAGCACTATTACGCTTCATTTGTACCATTAGTGCGCGTTATTACGCCGTTAGTGCGCCTTAAGTACAGGCCCGGGTGTACGAGTTAGTACGCAAGTGATTTCCCCTTCAGTCACCAAATCAACTAATTTCTTGCGACTGTGGTGACCAATCTCTTTTTCCCCTCTGGTAAAGAGTCTTTACAAATTTACAAGTTTCCTTACAAGTGCCGCCTAACTACAAAAGCAGTTTAGTGATCAAACAAAGATGTCACTAACAATCGTAGCCCTTCTCGCACTACTGTGCCGGATGAGCACCCATGGCAGAACTTTGAACTCTTTCGCGGTAAGATAGGAAGTGCCTTGTGCGAATGCCTACAAATTGAATGTAAAAAAAGATTGTTTACCGGAACACTTTCCTTAGTTCTCTGGGGATCACGGATATGCTTCGTGTCTCTTTTCTGTATAGGGCCCATATATAGCTTTCGCCGAACGTTTTTACAATTGTGAGACAAACCTCTCGCTTCCCTGGCAATGGGCTTTCCATCCTTCTCGCTTCAATCCATATAAACCAAGAGAACTTCAACTGCTAACCGGTAACTTAACGGCTAGAAATGTAGATATGGATGACAGCTGGTGGGTAAGATATCGCCTCATTAGAGATAATCCTTTAAACTTATTTTAAAGCCTTCAGGATACTGATTAAAAGTGGGATTAGGAAATGATTACATGTACCTAAATCATTGTTTACTATAACAGCTGAAAGTAATATTAGATGTCTGGGCGAATAACCAATGGAAGGAAAACGCTTTTGTTCTTTTCTTTAAAAACAGAGCATGTTCGAGTCTAAGGGCGAATACCCCTAGTTTTTACGAACATGTATTTAAGAGAGAAATCAAAGACCGGTGCATAATCAAACGTGTAAGTTCTTAAACTGCAGTTTTGCTCTTCTCATTGGCGACAACTGTTAACAGATGACATTAAAAAAAATAAGTAATTTATATTAAAGAGCAAACACAAAAGAATGAAAAATTAAAAGACTGGAACTGCCTCTATTTACAGGGAGTTTACGAGGTCCGTAACGCCCCGATTGAGTGGGTATTTCCAAATATTCCAATTATGCCTTATGGGCGCTATAAGCACAGATCGACGTCAGGTAAGGCTGACAAATACTTGTGCTTGTCCGGAGAATTTCATGCAATCCCTAAAGTCGATTAACATCCTACATCATAAAATCACTATCGTTAATGTATTGTCTTACATTACAAAATATATGGCAACGTTTGGATCTAAATAAATATCTGTTAAAACTGTGTCTACTAATTTTGTTTTTTGGAACTACTACCGGTACTTTCAATCTTCTACTCTTGTTCGTCATTCGCTTTCAGGTCGATACCGAAAGCTCGTACATATACAATATCTTGAGTTGTAATTGTACGGTTTTTCAATGGTAAATTTTCCTGTACACGGTACGACAATTTTTGACAGTGGTAAGAAGAACAAGAAATGTTCCCAGTGCAGAGAGAAACTTCTTTTGTTGTCGCGAATGACTTTACACCGCGCGGATAACGCGGAACTTCGTGGTGGTTTATTATCCACTTGCCATTATCTCCCAAACTAATGACCGAAGACGCAAAATAACTCAATATTCGGGTCATCCGCCTATGATCACCTTAGAACACGTTGGTCTGCATACTGGAGTCCAAGCTGTCCGGTAACATTTACTCCCATGCCGTATGAGTTTGGGAATCTGATATGAGAGGACTTACGCGGCACTCATTTTCGGCTCGTTAATACCTGTTCTCCCCAACACGAAGAAAATGAGGTGTTGGTAAGGGATTTAAATAAAAATCTGGACTGCCCCACACCGAAATTGGCAAAGGGAGGGATCATTTTCGTCCAGCAACCCGACGCAAAAAATATTTGTTCGCTTTCAGATCGTTTCCTGTGCGTCGTGCTAAACTCCGCGCCAAGGTATGTTGTTGTTTTTTGGAAATTTCACGTCGTGTTTCAGCAAAGAGGCCTCTTTGTTTACCAACAGAATGTTATGTTTCAGCCAGGCTACAGTGAAACACGGTATGAAATTTTTTAAAAACGACGACATAACATTCTGTAGGTAACAAAGAGGTGTTGAGCGTAGCGAATATACTTTCAGTTGATTTACAGAAAATAATTGTGTTGCAACAAAATTATGATGTCTCCTAACAACAGAGTTCTATGATATCGCGCGCTCTCCAAATACAGGAAGTTTAGTACACAAAGTTATATCTCCTATCCTTCAACTATACACTGCATACTTTAGACGCGGTTTTGTGTGTGTGTGGGGGGGGGGCGAGGAGGCGATCAGCGGCATCTTTTAAGAGTAACTAGCAGTTTTTTTGATTGTCGCAGACCCATCTGTTGCGCTACAATCGTGCATCGTTCCAGTTGAAGGCGAAGATCGGCATCGGGTGAGAGGGAAAAGTCAGAGCGGGCGTCGGTCACAGCGGGATTCGCCACTGTCATCCCCCCCCCCCCCTTCCACACACCACCCCTTTGAGAAGCTCCCCCTCCCTCCTAACTCGGTCCTCTCCCGTAGTCGTCCAGGCACCCCCTCCCCTCTACTCCAACCCTCCCCTTCCGACGGTGAAGGCATACAAAGCAGAATGGGGCTCCTCCGTCTATGCTTAGGGGACAAGGAATGAGAGGGGCTGGAATCTAAAAGGGGAGGGGTGAGAAGAGGGGGCGGAAGATTGGGGAGGGGGGGGGGGGCAGCTAGCTACTACTCGCAACTGACCCCAGAGAATACAAACTCGAGACTCCAAGGCGGGCGGACAAGCCCCTGCACTGGACATGGACCACTGCTAGTTGCTAATCAACTCAAGTGATAATGTCTTGTCCTGCCTTCTCATCAGACGTCTCATGAGATACTACATGCAATGGCATCCGCACATTGATCCAAAGCGATGGTGTATGGATTTTCATACAGGGTCTCTCTCTCTCTCTCTCTTTTTCATTTAGTCAATTATTGTGTTGGAAAGAGGTGTTTGGCAGTGTACTCACCAGAGATGATGCCATCCATTTGTTGTAAAGCCGCCTCCAAAAGCTTGCTTGCTTCAGCGTGAGGGCTGGTCAGCCCATCCGCTTGGTCTGATTTGCCCATTGTAACTGCAATCACAATGTCAAAACATTACACATTAATGCATAAAGACCATGTCGTCCAAAGATACCAACCAAAGGTTGGGGCAAGTCACAACCACCTGTGGAATGTCATGGATTAATTTTAGCAGCCTAAAGTACGGAAGAATACAAATGATTGCATTGTGTCTCCCTCTATACGAAAATTGTAAAAATGAAGAAGAGCAAAATGGGCAAAGCTCCTATTCAAAATGAAGAAAACTAAACAATTACATAACATTTAACCTATGCTTCCTCACAGACCACTCATTTTCTATTTGAGGTGTTTTACTGAAGCTATGCAGCTACCAGTGACCTGGTCTGGCAGAGACGAACAGACGCGCTGCAACAAATCCCACGCAACCGCCTCCGATCGCGACATTTCATTCATTGCAAATGGGAGGGGAGCGATCACGGTAATGACAGCAGTGACGTTAACCCTCTTCCGGTGCGCGTGAGAAGTCTCGTCACGCCTCTGGCAGCCCCGCCCGGGAGACAGGACGCGTAAAAAGACATAGCGAGAGATTCGCGGGGCTGTTCTCAGCCCCCAAACCGGTGGCATACAACACAAATTGTCTTATGTGGAACGTAAACACAACGGCATGTCACAACCAAGGACTAACCTCTGTCGGGCGTTTGCACGATTTCAGCGAAAATCACTCAGAACAACGTTGCAGGGAACATTCGCAGCTCTTGGTGTTGCTCGAAATTAGGAAGAAGCGCGACGAGTTCAATAAATCAACTCAAAACAAAGCAGAAAGCGTAAATAAGCAAGCAGAATCCCGTCAAAACACAAACACAAACAACACAAAATAAAGCGTTCAGGCAGGACACTCCACAAGGCGTTGCCTTTGAACAGGTTGTCCGATCAACCGTAAGCTGCAAGTCCTGTCGCGGTGGCAATATTTTCCCTGTTAAACACTATTTGTAAATAAGAAATTGATTTAACACTCAATTTTTTAGGTCAAATTCCAAAACAATGCGCTCTAGTGCGCCGATTCATGGCAAAACAGATCCCATTTTAAGGTTGTACGTTGGTCATTCACAAGTCGTGACGTCACAGAACGGTCCAAGTATAGCCGAAGACACACGTGTTTACGTTTGACAAAGCAGGTATCCTCAGCCCAATCTAGTTTTTGCCGTTGGGTACCTTCCTTTGGTGCCTCAGTCAGCACCATGGCCTGCTGTGTGGTCTTGAATCAACCGTCTGCTGAAGTTCCTGTGGATGTCTCAGTCGACCAGCCCGCCAGTGTCATTTCCACAACTTGTTCCCAGTCAACCACACTGAACACAGACGGTTCTGGGTCCTTCTCATCCAATAAAGCTTCCACAGATTCACGGTATGAAGGAAGTTCTTGTTTTTAATTTTCTGATGGTTAACTATTTTCTTACCTTTATGCATTGTAGTTGATTTTCTATTGTTGGCTCTTTTTACCAGAGGCAACTGAGAACTGATGTCAGCTCTTAATCAGTTGACACTTTTTAAAAAATGGGGAATTTAGTCTTGTGGGGTGACTTGCCTCATGCTACTAAATTCACCACGCTTTTCTAATATTTTAAATCCTCTGTTTATAGTTTTCATTTTGCAACATCTATTTAATTACAGTTCAAACAACACTGACAATATTTCTACGAGTCAAGCTCCTAGTCATGTGTTCAAGGAACCATGGGGCAAACTTTTGGCACAAGCCAAAAACAAACTTCGTAAAAACAGACCTAGAGAACACAATCCTAAGATAAATGTGATAACATATACTTTGAATCAAACTCCAAGACAGCTTGATGTGTTAAACAATGAGCCTCAAGAAGCCCAGCTGGTGGAGAAAACCTCTATCAAAAAGACTATGTCACCAACAGAGAAATCGAAAACTAGAACCAGAGTGAAAAATGACCTTCAAACAACTCAATCCTGTGCCTCAGAACAGGAAGAGACATCAAAACGAACTAGAAGAGGGAAACGATCTTCTTCAGTTGAGTGGGATTGGAGTGGCAATGACTCAGATACTACCACTGTGCCTCAAAACAAGAGACGAAAAACTCGTTCATCTAAAAAACGAACGCCTTCAATTGATTCAAGTTGGATTAAAAGTGAAGATGATGATGATGTCCTGGATGAAATGGAAGAGTCAAGGGGAAGTCCAGGTAATACTACCCCCTTATGAAACTTTGCACTGCTCTCCTACATCTCGCTTCTAATCTTAAAATATTTTTTTAGGTTCAACTCATAAGTGCCTTCTATGTGATAAAACCTTTAGTAGACCATGGCGCTTGCGTACTCATCTTTATAGACATATTAAAATAGTATGTGTTTGAAATTTTTTAAAATGAAGTGTCTTGTTTCTCATTAGACAATTTAAATAATTGACTCACTTATTTCTACCAATTCCAGGAGGGTCCATATACTTGTGATTTTGAAGGTTGCTCAAAGTCATATTTTCATAAGGCCCATCTAGTCAGGCACAAATCCAGGAATCACTCGGATCTTGTTGCTTCCCAACAAATAAAGTAACATATTTTTCCTTTCTTTTTGTGTTGCATATTGGTGCATCCAACTAATTTTGGTAAATTTTCTGTTCTCTAGGTGTCCTGAAGAAGATTGTTCAAAACTATTTCGTACTGGATCTGGTTTGAAACGGCATATAAACAAGGAGCATTCAGGGGAAAACCTAAAGTTTCCGTGCCCTCATTGTGATCAATCTTTCCCAAAAAATAAACAGCTTCGGTATCACATTGCTGAGCACGATGGACAACCCCCCTTAAGGTAAGACTCTGCTTATTTTTTAGACAATTTGGTTGTTTTTACAGACCCAAAATTGTAATTTTTCACGTGATTAATTGGCTTTCCAGATGTGCGAAGTGTAATGCTGGTGCCTACACTGATAATATGTTAAGGCGACATATGAGATCACACAAGGAATATCCTTGTGATGTTCCTGGGTGTGAACAAGTCTTCAGTAATTACTCAGCCTTTAGGAAGCACAAAAATGAACACAGCAAGTGCTTCCAATGTAAGTATTTTTCAGAACATTGTATTTAAAACAATAATTTCAATAACACTTTAAAAATGCTCTTTTTGCCGTAGCTCTTGAATGTGCACATTGTAAACAAACATTTACTACAAAATTCAACCTTAGGCAACATGTCCTGACCCATTTGACAGAAAAACAAGTTTTTAAATGCACCTATGAATCATGTGATAGGTAATGTATCACTACAGTGTTTAGGCAGATAAATTTTGTAATCATTACCTTTTAATTATTTTTATGCTAAAAATGAATTTACTGCTTCTTTTCTAGGGTTTACTATCAGAATAGAAATTTACAGAGTCATATTCGTTTAAAACATGAAAGGAAAAGCAACTTTGCCTGTCCCTGGTCAGACTGTGTGATGATATTTATGAGCAAGGTATGTAGCAGCAGTTGTATCACTTAACATTCAATTCTTTCTTCATATCATTTAAAACTTTTTTTCTCATTTCAAATCCGACCTCAGAGAGCACTTTGGAAGCACATATCTGTACATGAAAATGGCCCTGCAAAGCCAGTCAAAAAGAAAGAAAACAGAGCAACAAGAAAAGATAAAGGCAAACCCAAAAAAGCCATGGCCACCATGCTAGCAGGGATGATGGTTCCCGCACAAGTGGAGAAACAACTTTTAAAAGAGTCATCTAGTTTCAAAATGTCAGAATCTGAACCAGAAGATGGGCCTGCTCGTAGCACAAGAAGCAGAAGTAAAGTCGATATCCCATTGCTTATTGCTGGCAGCAGCATCCAGTGTGATTCTTCAGAAGGCATAACAAATACATCTCAGCACATTAATGACATGTGTAGTGTAAATATAACAAGTTCTGTTCTTGTTGACAATAGCATCATAGAGTATCATGCAGGACGAGAGTATGAACTCAGTGATGGAGGATTTTTGGTGGAGGTTCCTCTCGTAGAGAAAATTAGTGGTGACCTTGATGCAGGGCAAGCTGGTGTTGCTGTTGAGCCGTCTGAACCACAAACCTTTGATGAGGATCAGCCAAACTATCTGTTGGGATGTGAGGACAGGAGGCAGCACTCAAGTGATGCTGGTCCAGCTCCTGTTTTTGTCCCCAATGAAAGAGTGCAACTTTGTGCGGAAACTATTGTTGAATGCAAGTCAACAGATGCAGAGAAGGAAATGCTGGTAATCCCTAAATTAAGCCAGTACTCAATAACAACTGATGGTGCAAGTGTTGTCAACCGTGATTCAGTCGTGCAAACTCTGAGGAGTGTCTCAGACAGTGATCCATCAGTGTCAGGCATACTGCAACCTCTTATTGAAAAGTTAATTGATTTGCCAAATGAAACATTCCAAGATACAGCAAAAACTTCATTTGCAAATATTAATCTAATGGAAGTAATGAATGATTTCTCTAACATGGGGAGGATTAAAAACCCTGCTTACAGTCCACAGGAATTCAACAAGGAAAAATTATCACCACAAACTAATTCAGCCATGGTCAGAAACCCAGCTTATGACGAAAGTATGGATTCCAAACAAGCTGGTGTAACACTTCTAGATAAAAGTTCTTTGAGTGATATTGATGAACCCCAAAATGGAGAAGCTTCTCATGATGAAATTCAAAACAATGAAGGTCCACAAGGTGAACATCCAAATGATGAATCTCAAAGTGACTCTTCAGTTTCTAGATGCTCTACCGATTGCACCTGTTGTACCACTGATAAGATTGATAGTGAGGGAACACCATTTTGGGATAAAATGAGATCAGCAGAACAACCATTGAAAATTGAGGGAACCAGTAAGTCCCAGGAAAAGATTTTAATGATGGATAAAACCTCTAACTCATGTGTTGCTTCACCATCGAGGGATGAATCTGTAGGTAAAGAGCTGGTATGTGAGCAGAAGTTGAATCATCAGAATTCTCAGAAAAACAAAGAAAAAAAACCTATTCATATGAGGGACGAATCTAAAGGAAATAAGCCGGTATGTGAGCAGAATGTAAAACATCAGAATTCTCTCAATACAAAAGGAAAGAAACCTATTCATATGAGGGATGAATCCAAAGGAAATAAGCCGGTATGTGAGCAAAATGTAAAACATCAGAATTCTCTCAATTCAAAAGAAAAGAAACCTATTCATATGAGGGATGAATCTAAAGGAAATAAGCTGGTATGTGAGCAGGATGTCAAACATCAGAATTCTCTCAACAGAAAAGGAAAGAAACCTATTCATAAAATACAGAGTGAAACCAAGTACTCATTTGACTCTAGTGATTCTGAGCCTCTGAGTGAGTGGTTCAAAAAACAAAACAAAAAATCAGCCAAAAGGAAGGTGATTTCGAATGATAACTTCAGTGATTCAAGTATATCAAGTTGTTTTGAGTCACGCCCATCCAAAAAGAAGCCAAAAGTCTTAAATTTCTCAGAGACAGACTCTGATGATCCCCTTGACCCTTCATGGAAACCAGGAACAAAAAAGAGTCGACCAAAGGTTATTAGAAGAATTAGCTCTGAGAGTGACTCTGAGAGTAATACGGATAAATCAGAGGTATGTTTTCAAATTTTCACTTGGTTATGTCTGCAGCGCTCATGCACAATTTTTCAAATCTGATATTTGTTTCCAGACGTCTATTTCTTTGCTGCCAGAACATACTGAATCAAAACCTTCCAGATTGCCTGGAATACATGAAGTAGCCCTGGAAGAGGTAAGAGAATTAGTTATTTAGTGTGATTGGTTTTAATTCCTTTGAAAAGAATATTAGCATTTTTATTTTTATATTTCAGAAACCTAAACGATCTGGTTTAGCTTGTAGGCAACTTTCTGAGAGCACATGGCTAGACATTCTTCGTCAAGTCAACAGGAGTGTTAAATTGTCCATGTCAGCCATTCAAGATTGATTTTCACTTGTCATGGGATCTATTTTGCCTATTTTTCCTCTGAATGTAATCTAATCTTTACTCTACCGTGATTTTACCTATGATTTTATGTAAGATTTCAATGGGCTAACTTACAACAGGCAGCTAATCTGTTAAAATCCCAGTATTCTCAGATTATATTAGCAGGCATGCTTTTTTTTGCTTTTTTACAGCGTAAAAGACTATGAATTACAGTATGTAACTGTTTTGTTTTTTCATTTAATACTGTCTCAGTTACTTTTGTATGACATCAAAAATATTTTGATGCCAATGGGTGTAGTATTTCCATGTTTTTCCTCTCGAATTAGGGTACAGAATTTTAGTTTTAGGGACATCTCTCTTCAATTTTGTTGTTGTTTGGTAATTTTCTAGTTGTTTTGTGATTGTAATGTAAACTTTGTTACCCAATAGGTAAAAATTTGTTACTCTTTTAAAGTGTGTCTTTTGTTGTTGTTTTTTTAAATTTATTGACATTTCTTGACATGTACTTGTAAAAGTACTCTTTCTTCAAAGAAGCCGACTCCAAACAATGTCAACTTTTAAATGTTTTATGAAGCATCTCATCCAGCAAGTGAAGACCTTGAGGCGAATCTTTCACATGTTGCAGTCTTGTATACAGCTGACCGAGAAAGTACAGGGTCTCCACCTAGAGTAACACAACTTAGTGAGTAATACAGACCGAATTTCAAAGCAAATGTAATTTGTCGTGCCCCAGAAACGAGCTGAGACGCTTTGCCAATTGATACATTTAACTATAGATGGTCGAGTTCTTTTGAGAGATCCCATTCATTAGTAACTTGTCAACGTCGGCCACCCAACTCGATTCCAGGGTTTAATTGTAATTGAACTGGCCGACCTGCTCGGCCAGCATGACTCGCGACACCATGTTCGCCGTGGCCACGTCCCTGGCGTCCCGCGCCACGCCGTGCACCCGCAGGAGGGACTCGGTGACCTGCCGCTCCATGGCCACGGCCGAGCCGAGCGCCTCGTCGAGCTGCTCCCAGGCGCGGCCCGGCCTGGTGGGGGCGGGCGCGCCCGCGGCCCGGATGTCCCTGGGCAGGAGGCAGCCGCCGCGGGCTGCCAGCCAGCGCGCCAGCAGCAGCGCGTGGCCCCGCTCCTCCTCGGCGTTGGCCAGGAACATGGCGGCCGCGCCCCGCAGCGACACCGTCACCGCCGACATGGAGCACGCCTGCACTGGGGAGAGGGGCCTCGAGAGGAGCGCAGGGGCGGCGTGGGCCACCCGCCGCGGCGGCGTGTCTGGCGGGACTGCCTACGCCCCGCCCCGCAGGCGCTAGCTGGGTGAGTCCGCACAGTGTCCAGTCGCGCCCTAAGGTGCCCCATGTGAGTGACAAGGATGGAGGTACGCGGAAATCCTGTGCGGAGTCACACTGCAGGCCTCCCAAGTTGAGCAGGAGCAGGGTCACTCTACTCCTCTCCGAGACGCCTACCATGGCCAGGTAGCCGAGGCTGGCGTCCAGCTCGGCGCCGATCTGCTCGTTGAGCGCGGCCTGCACGGCGGGCGCCAGGGGGAAGTACTCGGCGGGCGGGCAGGGCGGGCAGCGCGCCTCGCTGCGCAGCCGGCTAGGCTGCCCCGGGGGGGAGCGCGCCCTCAGCAGGACGTCCGAGGTCCTGGACCAGGCCGACCAGGCCCGCCCGAAGGACGTGCCACCCATGCCGCTGCTCGCGCGGGAGGATCTACACAGGCGGGCCGGGCCGGCGCGCCAACAATGGGCGAGAGCGGATCAACATATGAGACGGTGAGTGTGATTGGGTTTAGCTTTCATGCTTTTATAGAGGTAGTCGTTTTTATTTTTGACAAACTTAAACAAGAACAGCCAAACATATGTCTGCTATCAGTATGGTGCTGAAGTGAGCTAGTCAAATTCAAACATAAATATTTTTAAGGATATTCAACTACAAGACAAAAATGATACAAAAGAGGGCTATAATAAATCTATGAAAAACATGGTGAAAATGAGGTGGCTATTTTCTTTCTTTATATCAGTGGTTACTGGTTATCTACGTAGCGTTTCTACGCCCAATTTTTCAGTGTTTCAAAAAAAAAAAAGTGACATTAGAAAATTATTTGAAAATAGATGCAGACTATAGAGCCACAATGCCAGAGCACCATGACCAGGATGAAATGCTTCAATTGTAGAATTTGTGTGTAAACCACATAGGTTTAAATAAACCACATAGGTTTAAATGAGGTTTGTGTCTGCCCATTGCATTTTTCATAAATAATGTTGTCTTCTGTGAAGATCTATCTAACCTCTGCACAAGAATTTATTAGAGCTTTGATTTTGTCAGAAACTTTACTAAGTTCACAAGTTTCCTTACTGCACTTTTGTGCAATAATTTTACATTCTTTTCAGTGAGCTTAAATTTTACTTGAGAACATGCAACTTGATGCAAGTTCTTTAATTCTGAATCAATTTTGGCTGAGACTGAAGAAAACCCCTAGGGAAACGGCTTTGTTACAAAATTGTCAAGGAGGTCACTGTTGTCTAACCAAGACGTTTTTTGACACTACCAGTGACCTTACCTTGTGCTATCAAGAGCAAAAAGTGTGAGCTTGTAAAGAGATCACAATATTATTTTTTGACAAAAATGTTTCCCTTGGTGATAATAATAATGTTAAACAGAATATGTCAACAAAGTAACACTTAACTACACAAGAAAATCTAATTTTCCTGATTATGAAATCAAAACTACATAGAACTTATCTTAACCTTTGGAATTTAAAATTTGTAACACTAACATAATTAACAGCCGCAAACTGATTAAGGTCATTCAAACCTTTAGCTCAGTAGTTAAAACCAAACCATATAAACTCACTCATAGTCAACAACAAAATTACATTAGACCAACTGCAGTTATATAGCATTCTGACTTTTATGTACAAGAAAAAATATAACGATGCTTTTAAATAAAAACACTATTGTCTTCAAATATTTTTTTAGGAGCGCAAGTACATATTTTGAAAGAAAAACAGGAGAGAGCATAGTACAGAACATTGCAGTCTTAAAATGACCAATCGTTAAACAAATTTTGGGAACACTACCTGTATTCTTTAAACTTTCTCATAATTTTGACCAGAAAATGAAAGCGAGAGCTTGACACATATATGTATTTACAACAACGTTGATGCAATGCAGGCACACATACAATATTTCAGTTCAGTATTGTAAATGTTTGGCACATTTATTATACAATAGTTAATCAAGTCTGTAAAAAACATACCTAGACACAAGACAACTTTTTAAATACATATTTACTATTGATATTCCTAATACACTACACACCTACGAAAACAAATCTTATCAATTTTAAAAAGATTTTCCTTGCAAAATTTCCTAATTATGACATTCCCTTAGGTGCTTAAGTGCTTCAGTCATATAGCTACATATCAATAAAGATATATGCTGTCATTGGCACAATACAGTTTGTAGGGAATTCCAAAACATTTCCTTACAGAGAGGTATAAAACATTCTATGATGTAGTGAGTAATACTCAAATATGTGAGTGGGAATTTGTGCAGGATTTTGAGCAGATCAGAATGAAGTCAGTGATAAGATTTGAGCCGTCACAACATAAGAGTCTTAAGGTACACATGGCAAACATCACACTTACTCAGTCAGAACGATTTGCTCGTATTTTTCAATATTTGATAAACACCTGTCAGCTATAGATTCATAAAAGAAAAGCAGGTCAACAGAACTTTGGACAACAAGTTTTGCTCCATGCATGAGATCAAGCCCCTGTGGAGAAGAAGAGAACTGAACATTTTTGGACCCTTAGGATGACATGAACGGAATAATAAACGACCACACACAGCGTAATTGTGTTCAAAAGATGACTCCCTTCAAAACTCACTACGACAACAAAAACAAGACAGGCCTTGCGCTGAGAAAACAGCTTGCTCACTTTAACGGTAAAGGCTTGAACTGAGACAAGGCGTGCATCGCTCTGCTCTGTGCAGTCCAACTCCTGCGATGTCGAAGTCACATCCAGGACACATGCGGGGGCCCCTATCGCAGAGTCCTTGAGCCGGCCGAGGCCCAGACCGAGGGTCCGGGCCCGTTTCCGACCGGCCCAGGCCGCCCTCAGACCCAGTACTGGTTCCTCCTGAGCAGGGGGTTGTTGGCGCTGGCGCGCGCCTGCGCCTGGCTGGGCAGCGTGCCGAAGGAGATGTCGGACGGCGAGGGCGCGAGGCCCGCCGTCGCGTCGAACGTGCTGCCCCACTCCTGGGGCAGGGGCAGCGGCAGCGGCGTGTCGTCGGCGCCGTAGGGGTACCGGAGGTTCACGTTCAGCTCGGGCTCCGAGCTCGTCACCGAGTCCACGCCGATGCCGCCCGTTGGGCCCAGGGGTATGACCTTGCACTGGGGGACGGGCATGGAAGTGGGCGTGGACGCCAGCGACAGGGACGGCACCCCGAAGTGCTTCGGCCTCGGCGACGAGGGCATGAGGTCGTCGGGCGGCCGTGGCAGCGGCATGGGGCCCAGCGACCGGTCCGTGATGTCCGACTTGCCGTTCTGCCCGTCGTGCAGGCCCTGCGGACGAGCCAGAGGAGAGGGTCACAAGCGGGAAAGGAGCCACTTTTTTCAGCATATTTTAAACAACCAGTTGTACAATGATCAAAAAATTCTGCAAGCACATACAGACGGAACCATATAAAGATTTGTGTAAAAATGATTGTAACTTGACCGACCTGGACTGATCCGGCGCGGCACTTGATGACCACGACGACGATGAGCGCGAGCACCACGACGCCCGCGACCATGCTGACGAGCAGGAAGTAGTCGTTGCTCATGTTGGGGCTGGCCACCACCACGGTGTCCGAGCCCAGCACGCCGTACGAGCCCTTGGGGCCCGGGATGCGCGGCCGCTGCGGCACGAAGGCCGTGGGCGGCGGCCCGAACTCGGACCGCAGCAGGAAGCGCAGCTCGCCCGAGGCGGGCTGGAAGATGGACGCGGCCAGCTCGAACAGGATCGAGTCCTCGTCCTGGGGGCGGCAAGAGACAGGTAAGTGTGGGCGAGCAGCGCGTGAAACGACAAATGAGTTGAGGAGGAAGAACGCAAAAAGTGGGGTGACAAGAGAGATCCAGTGTAACGCCTGTATCAGAAACCACGCCCAGGGCTCAAAGTTGCGGGTTTGCCTATACTGGGCGGGTGTTTTAAGGCCGCGCCCCCTTCTAGTTACACTGTGCCGCATGCATGGGTGCGTGCGGGCTTGCATACCGACTCTCACAACGGCGCCTTGCGGGCCCGTTCCCGGTGAGTATGCAACCCTTCCGCAACCCTCCATTCGGTACAGTATAGTGCATCATCCAGAAAAAAGAACATCCGCCAATCGCCATTGTGAACCTGCCAGGTTGAGCTGCCGCCGCAAGCTGCCATAGCGCCTTGTAGGTAGGCAACATCTTGCCTGAGCCGCACGCGTGTACTGCGGGCTGGCCTACTTGAGTCTCGCAGGCGCCGAGCCCTAATAAATTGCCCGAAAAATGAAACTGAGAAAAACGCCCGTACTTTCTGGACGATCCCTATCCCTAAGCAAAAGGAGGCTCCCACCCTTCTTCCTCCAGGGCCTGACCGCTGCCCTGCGCACGCACGCACTCACCCCTGGCTGGCCGGTGCGCTTGCCCACGTAGTAGATGAGCCCGGCGCGCAGCTCCTGGTGCGAGAAGCGCTCCACCTCGCGCTCGCGGACGGCTGGGGAGGCGCCGGGCGCGGCCGTGGGCGCCGTGCCGTTGCGCTGCTGCTGCTCGCCGCTGGAGGAGCCGGAGCTGCGCACGATCCTCCTGATCTTGCCGAAGCGCGGCCGGCGCAGCACCCGGTACACGGGGTCGCTGCCCGTCACCTTGGCGAGCTGCGAGGCGTCCAGGGCGGACAGGTCCAGGCGGGTCTTGAGGCCGGCGATGGGGCTGAACAGCCCGAGGCGCACCAGCGGCACGACCGTCACGTTGAGCACGAGCGCGGGCACGCTGGCCGGCCTGCTGGGCACCCAGGCGGACAGCTCCATGGCGTCCGAGGACGCCGTCATGTCCGTCTGCATGTACAGCACGCGGCCCGCCTCCACGTCGGCCTGGCTGAAGGACGCCGCCGGCCGGTCCCTCGCGGCCGACAGGAACACGGCGCCGTGCCGCGGCGCCCGCGTCACGTTGTACTGCACCGCGTCGCGCCGCCCGTTGGTCGACACGAGGAAGTTGTCGGCGGACAGCGCGGCCACGTTGGAACCCTGCTGCAGGCGCAGCGCGGCGCGCACCGACACGTTCAGCGTCAGGGGCAGCACCTGGAATAATTGGCGAGGTCACTTCTTGTCCAGCAAATCGAAACACTATCGGAAACGGCTCGAGCGGAATGGCTATCATTTTGAAAAACGGATGTGATTTCCACCTACCTCGATGTTGAAGACTGTGTAGACCGGTGCGAACTTGCCGTCCGAGACCCGGAAGTAGAAGCTGTCGGGCTGGAGCGGCCCGTCGTGCACGTACCACAGCCTGCTCTCGTCGATGTCAGCCTGCGAGAAGCGGCCGACGGAGACGACGGCGCCCGGGGCCGCGGTTGTCTGCGCGCCGGCGGCTGGCGGGGCCGCGTCCAGCACGAGCCGGCCCTGGCTGGGGTTGCTAATCACGTCGTACACGAGCTCCTCGGCGCGCGTGTCCGCGTCCTCGGTGAGCAGCTGCTTCCGGGTGACGGGCGCCGCCTGGCCCTGCACGACGGCGAGGTGCGGGCTGGGCTCGGCCAGGCGGAAGGGCTGGTCGTTGACGGGCAGCACCGTCACGGGGATGGACACGTTGCCCAGGAGCACGTCGCCGGGCGCGAGCAGCAGCGACAGCGCCACCTCGTCCCAGGTGGTGTCCGAGTGGTCGTGCCGGTACACCACCTCGCCCGCGCCCAGCTGCGCCGACGTGAAGGGCGTCGTGGCCGTGGCGTTGCACACCGTGCGCACGCACAGCGCCCCGTGCACCGGCGGCAACACCACCTGCACCTGGATCAGCGGGTTCTCGATGCCGACGTCCCGCCGCAGGAAGTCCAGCACCGTGCTGCGGGAGGAAGAGCAGGTTGAGAGAGGGGCTGGCACTCGGCGCGGGGGTGCCTCACGCTCACCCAAGGTGTCTCTAGTCTCACCTGGTGTTGAGCAGCAGCGGCGCGGTGCCGCCCTCCTCCACGATGAGCTGCGACACGCTCACGAACTGGTCCAGCCCGCCGCTCGACACGGACACCTCGATGCGGAACACCTGGTTCGTGAGCGTGTCGATGAAGGGCGCCGTCACGTCGAACTCGATCGAGTCGTTGGCCTGCAGGTCCTTGAAGGGGCTGGTGTGCTGGTAGCACAGGCGGCTCATGTTGACGTCGCGCTGCGTGAAGTTGAGCACCTCCCTGCCGGAGGAGCCGCGCCCGCCGGACACGGAGCTGGCGGCCTCGCCGACGCGCTCCGAGATGAGCAGCAGCCTGCCCTGCGTGGGCGGCACCCTGGGGGAGAGAGCGCAAGAAGGGAGTAGAGGGAAAAGCCACACGAGGAAGCGGTCTGGTCCGGGGATTTATTTTGCTTTCAAATGTGCGCACCTGACGCTGTACGTGAGGTTCCTGTTGGGGTCGGTGGTGACGACCATGAGGTGCTCGGCGGTGATGCACTTCCGCAGCATCGGGAACACGTGCAGGACCTCGTTGGCCGCCACCTTGAAGTCCGGCTGCTCCGACTGCACCTCCAGGCTGATGGCCTCCGTCTCCTTCATGCCGTCGCTCGCCCTCAGCTCGACGCGTCCCGACTCGGGCACGCCTAGGGGAGGGAACACGCATTGTCATCATCAAAATGGCGGTTCACTTTACGTCCTCGCGGGGGAACTGTGTGCAGCTTGCAGGTCACGGAAAAGTACCCCTCCGCTCCGATGTAAAAGCATGCCTTTAAATTGCCTGATCTTACCGGAATGAACGAAAATTATGTTGTTGCTGTTGATGTCGGCCTGGGTGAACTTGGTGATGGGCACGGCGGGCGTGTTGGCGAAGGCGATATGGCCGGCGCGTATGCTCATCACCTTGAAGGACACGTTGTGCGGGGAAGTGTCCGAGTCCACGACGGCTGCGGGGGGCAGGCGTGAGTCGTTAGTCAATCAGCCTCGCAATCAGCCAATGCCCGGAGACCACGTCGCCCATTGCTCAGTGGTTCGGACGCCCCTGCTTACCTAGGTTGGTGGTGAAGATGGGCGCGCTGGCCCCGCGCCAGAGATGTACGCTGCTGCTGTTGACGACCTTGGGGGGCTGGTCGTTGACGGGGGCGACGACCACCCGTATCCTGGCCGGCGTGCTGCTGCGGTCGCCCGCCACGGCCGACACGGAGAAGGCGTCCTCTTGAGTCTCGCTGCCGTCGTGCTGATACTGCAAAGGACACAGAGGAGTCAGACACAGGACTACAGCCACACCGTCGTCGCGGTCCTCGACGCTTACCTGGATGAGCCCCGCCTGCAGCTGCTGCGGGCTGAACTTAGTGATGGCCTGGCCGGGCTCGCGCGCGTGCTGCATGCGGCCGGCGGCCGGCGGCGAGACCACCACGTACTCGGTGATGCGGCTGCGGTAGTAGTCCGTGAGCACGGTCAGGATGTTGGCGGGCAGCGCAACGAGCGAGTTCTCGGACACGCGCAGCTCGCCGGTCGCCAGGTACAGCGAGTCCGGGATGATGGCGAGGCGCACGACGAGCCCCCGCATCCAGGAGATGCCGTTGGTCACGTCCACGACGACGCGGTCCTGGGTCTGGTTGGGGGCAGTCTGCACGTACAGGACGCGACCTTCGTTGACCAGGGACTGCTCGAACACCGTGACGGAGGCCTGGCCGGGCTGCTGGGGCAGCAGGGCGCGAGGGTCCTCCGTGGACGTGGCCTGCGCCTGAGACTCGATCTCGAGGTAGCCGAACTGCGGGGGCTCCACGACGACGAAGGTGATGTCCGTGGCGGGCACGTGGCGCTGGCGGACGTCCAGGAAGCGCGACGTAACGGCCACGCTCGTCGCCTCCTCCACCGTGATGGTCTCGTTGGCGTGCACCGTGAACGGCTCCCAGTAGCTGGACGGGAAGACGCGCACCTCGAAGCGGCCCTCCACGGTGGAGCCCGGCACGTCCACCCGGAACCGGAAGGCGTCGGAGAACGAGTCACTGGCGTCGTGCTGGTACCAGAGGCGGCCCGCCTCCAGGTCGCGCTGCGTGAAGTGTACCGCCTGCTGCGCGGCCTGCTGCGGCCGGCCCGCCCCCGCCGCCCCCGCGGCCGCGGTCGCCCCCGCGCCGACCCCCGGGTCGCGCAGGAACAGGCGGCCGTGCCCTGGGCCCTCCAGCACCTCGAAGCGCAGGTGCTCCGGCAGCGAGTTGACGTTGGAGTCGGCGCTCAGGTTGGAGGTGCTGAACTGGGCGGCGCCGCCGTTGCGAACCAAAAGCCTGCTGTTGTTGGCCACCTCCACGTACGGCGGCGACGCCACCACCTCCAGGACGCCGTTCGCCACAAACTGGCCGTCCGTCACCCACAAGTCGACCCGGCCGCGTTCCGCGCCGTGGTGCCGGAACAGCAGGCGGCCGTCGTCCAGATCCTTCTGCGTGAACTCCGTGACGGCCACCCCGGGCTGGCTGGCGCGGTAGAGCCCGCCGTTGGGGATGTCTCGCCGGCGGTACGTTATCTTCTCCGGGGATGCGTCCAGGTCGGCGTCAGTGTACCTGAGGGAAGTCAACGGCCTTATAGCAAAAACCAGAAGAAAGAAAAGTCACTTGACCTGAACTGCAGGACTCACTTAAGGTGCCTGCCGGTGAGCAGGCGCTCGCCACCCGTGACGACTCGGAAGACACGGTCCACGGCGCGCACCGGCGCGTTGTCGTTCTTAAGGACCACGTCGATGTGGAGCGTGCCGGCGTACATGAAGTCCTCGGCCTCGCTGGACATGGCCACGAAGTGGAAGGCGTCGTGCTGCGACTCGGAGTCGTCGTGCGAGTACTCGACCTGGCCGGCGGCCAGCTCCGCGGAGGTGAACTCGGTCGCGTTGAGCCTCAGGGTGGGCGCCGAGACCTTCACAGAACACACCTGCTCTAGGTATTGTTTGAGCCCCCGGCCGTGGCGAGCATGCCGCGCGGTGAGGCGCCCCGGTAGAACGGCTGAGTGACGTCGAGTTGTCAGTTACAGAACGCTAGTAGCCACCGCGTGGTATTATTTCATTGCGTTTGACTTGCTTGTTCTACCAGGGCTGCTGGTCTATGGTGGGTGTCGCGGCGCAGCTAGCGGCTGGTCCACTCTGCCAGCGCGGCGCGTTCTAGCTTCTACCCTCTACGCCTCTTTCCTAGCCTAGACAAGATGCTTGTGGTGTCGCGACGGTGCAGTCAAGCCCAGACCTCCCGCTCTCTGCAGTGCACAGGTGCCCCCCACAAGGTGCCACCCCCAACACACTCCCCGAGCCTGCGCGTGCATGCAGTACCTTCTCCACTCTCCCGGGACTGCAAGGCCGCCGCTGACGACGAGCTGTTGGGTATGCAAATGAGTACGCCTGCCAGCCCGGTGCGGGTGGGGCCGCCGCTTACCTTGAGCCAGCCGTGCGAGGGTCCGCTGGTGACGGCGTAGCGCACCGAGGTCACGCCCGTCATGGCGAGGCGCAGGGCGGCGGTGGTGAGCCTAGAGGCGCCGCCCTCGGCGACCTGCAGCCGCTCCAGGGTGACGGCCAGCCCGGGCACCTCACCGCCGGCCGTCTCGTGCAACACCACCAGGCTGCCCGGGATGGCCTCGCAATCGGGCGCGCTCGCGCGGAACGTGAACTCGTCCCGGATGCGCGAGTAGGCCGTGCGGTGCAGCCGGTAGGTGAGCCTGCCCTCCTTGACGTCCTGCTGCGTGAACGAGTCTCCCGGCGCCAGGCGCTGCTGCTGGCGCTGCTGCGGCGCGCCGGGCAGCCCCAGCACCAGGGAGCCGTGCCGCGGCACCTGCACCACGTGGTACACGACCTTGGCGGCGTCCGTGGCGAGCGGCTCCGTCCTGTACAGCAGGTGGCGTTCCGTGACCAGCGCCTCGCGCGACCTGTTCAGCTTGAGGTCGACGCGGCGCGCCTGCTCCAGCCGCAGCTTGGTGAATGTGACCCGGAAGTCGTAGGTGGTGGGCGCGCGCACCTCGCCGACGGACACCTTGAACTGTGAAGGAAGGGGGTGACGGTAAGTTAGGCGATAACATCCCCAAGAAAGTGATTTCATTCTTTGGAGGTACTTTTACCTTGAACTCGTCGTGCGCGGGCTGCCCCGTGGCGTGCACGTAGCGAATCTGCTCCCGTGCCAACTGCCGGCTGGTGAAGCGGTCGATGCCCGGACCCTTGGCGGACACAACGGCCGCCGAGCCGTCCGCAGCGCGCGCCCGCTGCAGGTTGCCGTACTGGGGCGGGCGGACCACCTCGTAGAGCACCTCCAGGTCGGGGTCGTCAGCGTTGGTGAGGAAGGTGAGGTTGGCGGGGAGGATGGTGACGGCGGCGCGGTGCGTGAGGACGACGCCCGTGTTGTTGACGAGGCGCAGCTGCAGCGGGAACGCCGAGACCCGGAGGAAGGCCGTCGCCGACGTCTCGATGCCGTCCGAGACCTGCAGCGCGATCCTGGCCGTGCTGGCCTCGGCCTCTGCGCGCTCGCCGCGGTGCGCGTACGACACCTTGCCCTCGTTGATGTCCTGCTGGGTGAAGGACGTGGTGACGGTGCCCGGGCTCGACGTCCACTCGAGCGCGCCGTGCCCGCTGCCCTTCTTGTTGTCCGCGTTCACGTGCGTGAACACCAGGGCCGCGGGCAGCGTGTCCGGGTCGTCCGCCATCAGCAGCTCGGGGGTGATGACCTTCCGCGTCCCCTGTGGCAACGGGTAAAGAAGGTGTCAGTGGCGTGTCGAACAACATATAGACTTTCTAAGGATCTATGTCTAGGATCCAAGCAGAGCTTTTAATAACTACAAAATCTACGCGGTATGAGCCACCCTTCAGTAGTTACCTTTCGTACTCTCGGAGAATAAATGCGGAAACACTGGTAGTCACTTGAGCTACAAGGCATCAGGCAGTTATATGCAGCTCTGTTAAAGTAAACAAATGAAAATGCAAAAAAAGATAAAAATGGGAAAAAAAAATGGCCGCGCATAGTACTCATGCAAACACACAAAAAAATATAAAGAGTTTCATGTTAATTACTAGAATATACGCATGCCAGTAAAAAATAAAATTTGACTCAAACTACTATTAGGTATTATTATCATCATCATCACACTGGATATGTATTAAAAATTCAAGATAAAATAAAAAGGTGTTATTCAGGCTTGACTACTGCACCCAAGAATGGTTCAAGGCAAAAAGAAATCAAAATGCAACTGAGGTGTATGAGAATTGTGTTGACGTTTTGGGCGTTAATGCCTACCTGAGCGAGGCGCAGCGTCTTCCCTGCAGGGATGCTCAGGATGGGCGCGTCATTGACGGGAGTGATGTTGACGGGGAGGGCGAAGCGGTGAGGGCCCTGTAGGTGCGCGGGCTGGACGAAGTCAGGCCCAGCCTGCAGCTCGAGCTCCATGACGATCTGGTCCCGCGTGCTCTCGGAGCCATCGTGCTGGTACCGCACCTTGTCCTTGGCCAGGTCCAGGAGGGTGAAGAGCGTGCCGGAGCCGGCGCCGAGGCCGGGGGCGCCGCCGCCGCGCTCCCACACCTCGGCGATGAGCTTGCCGTGCGCGGGCGGCTGCAGTACCCGGATCAGCACGCCCGTGTCTCGGACGCCGTACTTAACGTAGTCCAGGACCACGTTCACGTGCGAGGTGGTGACGGGGACGTTCTCGCCCTCGGCGACCGACAGCGTCGTCAGCTCGACCAGCTCCACGTCGACGGGCATCGGGCCGCGCGAGTACACCTTGTAGCTGTCGGCGAACTCGGGCCGCACGCACAGCGGCTGGTCGCAGACGCACTGGAAGGCGCTGAGGCCCTGCTGCTCGCAGCGCGCGCCGCGCACGCACGGCTGCTGCGCGGCGCACACGAAGTCGAACAGGCACTCGGCGCGCACGCCGTGCGTGACGCGCGCGTCCGGCAGCCCCAGGCGGCGGCCGTCCACCTCCACGGCGCGCATGCAGCCCCGGAAGCTCGTGTCGCGCAGCCCCTGCCACAGGGCGCGCGCGCGCTTGCTCAGCTCCGTGCCGCCCAGGTACACCACCTCGTGCAGGTCGAGGTACTGGTTGCCGCCGCGGTCCAGGCGCGCGCTCACGGTCTGCCCGTCGACGGTCACCTCCATGGCGGTGGGGTTGAAGTGCGCGACGACCGTATGCCACTGGCCGTCGTCCACGCGCACCTCGGAGGACAGCTCGGCCTTGCCGTCGCCCTTGTCGAGCAGCAGGCGCAGCCGCCCGCCCGATAGCTCCAGCCCGACGTAGTCGGCGCGCGCGCCCTGGCCCGAGTTGTACAGCAGCAGGCCCTGGTTCGCCTCCGTCTTGAGCTGCAGCTGCCAGCGCGCGCCCGTCCGGGTGATGGGGTTGGGCAGCGACACATACGCGCCGTCCTCCACGAAGCTCAGGTCGCTGTCCACCGACGCGTCGAACTCTGGCGCGCAGTTCCACGTGATGACTTGCACCTCCACCTTCTGCGGGCAGCGATGAGCTCGTCAAGAACGTCGTGGTCGTGTTGCATAAGGCGGACCAAGGTAAACAAGTGCCAGAGAGCCAGGTGGCGGGAAAACCCCGTTGGACTTTGAACTAGGCCGCCTACATTCACGAGCGTGGGCAAGTTGCCTACTCGCTCGGGGTCAGGCGCTATAAATACAGAGGCGCAGTTTTCCAGCCACCCGGTGCCAACAGTGGCGACGCCTTACCTGGGAGGACGTCCTCTGGCGGGACTTCTGCAGCAGGCTGTTGCCGTTGTACTTGACGTCCCCGAGACAGCCTCGCAGCCACTCCGTGTGGCCCAGGAAGAGGTCGGTGAAGTCACCCATACCGCCCAGGTACACGCCAAAGTGAATGTTGAGCTCGAAAAACCGTCCGGGAAGCTTCTCTCTGCGGGCGAGCGAGAATAAGAGAAAACAAGCTGTCAGAAACAGCCGAGAACAACGTACTGCAGCAAACATCGCTGTGTCGAGAGAGATTGCTTACTTGATAACGTGGATGTGGTCGATCGTGATGGTCACATCGGCCTCCTTGCGCGTCAGCTCCACCTCGTGCCAGACCAGGTCGTCGAGGCGCAGGCCACGCGGAGAGTCCACCTCCGCCTCGCCCGCGCCCAGGTTGATCCGCACCTGCGACAAGCACTTATCAGTGAAGTCCGAGAAACGCTGGGAGTGTGTGTTAGAGAGGGGGGACTAGACCATGGGGTCCTTAACTAAAGTAAATCATTATCCACCCCCCTCCCAAACCAGGAGAACACTCAGAAAAATCAGGAAACAAACAAAGGAAAATCGATAAAAATTAAGAAAAATTAGAAAACTCAGTGGAAAAACAAGAAAAAAATTCGTTTACGCTTAAATTTATGGTGAAGTTCCACTCGAACTGGCGTCATACCTTGAGGCGGCCGGTCTCCAGCCGGATGTAGCAGTAGTCCGTCTTGCCGGCGGCCAGCAGCAGCATCGTGTCGGCGCGCTTGGTCCGGAACTGGAACGAGATCTCGGTCGTGTTCTTGGCATCCTGGAGCGGGTACTTGATGTAGCTGGCGCCGTAGAAGGACGCTGCAAAACAGAGTGATGGCCGGTCGTTAGGTAACGATTAATGCGCGCCGATCCGTTCGCGCGGCTCTCGGCCCAAAGAGGGGAAAACACTCTGTCGCCCCCTCCCCCCCCAACCGGGGCCTCGCCCCGCGCAGGCTCATCGGGGCTTTATCTATATCTCCAGAGGAAAAAGGGGGCGGGGAGATAAATAGCAGAATCATGACTGACCACCCCGCCACGCCACGCCACGCCCGGCCCCTCCCCGCCACCCCCTCCCATTGCCGCCGGAAGGCCGCCACACCAGCCCCAAGCCCCCGCCAGGCGCCCGCCGCAAGGGGGATTCTCCCAAGTTTCAACGAAACAAAAGAACAATCGAACGCGATGGGAAAAGGCCCGTGATAACAAAAAAGAAAGGGGTACGCAACGCATACCAAAACTTTGTGATGGCTGGTGAGGTCCTTATTCCACTGACATGTAGACTGCCATGCCGTCCATGGAGTACATGAGGTGGGACAAAGACAGAGTTATGACATGGCTCTGGGAGGGGGAGCAGGCTGGACCGCTTTATGGGGGCGCCGAGCGTCCATTTGGGAAGGGGAGGGGGGGAGAGGAATCTGGCGGCGGAGGAGGTCGGTTGCCGACCCGCAACTTGGCGGTCTTCTTTACCAGGACAAAGACGGTCTCGATGTGCCAACTTGCACAGCAGATCGCCACGCATACACCGGGTGGGGGCAGTGGAGAGAGGAAGAGGGGTGGGTGGGGGGTGGAGGTCGAACCCGACCGCCCCTCGCCGCCTCATACTTTGGGGAAGTGACCCCCCCCCCCTGTGCTCAACCAGCTCAACCCTTCCCCTCGCCCCGCCTCACCCCCTCACACACAACTTCCGTCTGCTGCTGCCGTCTCCCTCCGCCATATGAAGCCTCGCGATATTTTAATGATCTGGCGACAAAAGGCCAAACGGCGCCGTTGGCGTTGGGCACCTCGTTGGGGGGCGGGAAGAGAGCCGACTGCGCGCAGTGCACCCGGGCGACAGCGGGAGCGGAAGACGCCGCAGGAGACTCCCGTTCGCACTTCCCTTTATTCTTTTTTGATTTGAAACGTTTGAGTGCGCCCCGGTGAGAACAACGGATTCAACGAATACAAACAAAAACTCCCGCAGCAGAGGGGCCAGAAGGGGACGCAAAGGGCAGAAAAAGGGAGGGTATATAGGAGACCTCGCATTTCATTTATATCTCAAATAAAATCGCACAAGACAAAGGTGGACCTCGCGTCGCCCCCCCCCCAATTTTTTGTGCCCCCTTGCTTCCCCCACACCGCCGACTGCAGGCAGACTCTGTCCCGCCTCAACCGCTATCTCTATCAACGCGGACACCTAATTGCCTAAAAAGGGGTTGGGCGGGGCTGGAGGGGGAGGGGAGGGGGCGAGGAGGGGTGCAAACTGAGTTAATTGACTGACGAGACAAGCCAACGGCGGTCGACTTAACTGGTTCTCCCATCCCTGCTCATCCCCCTTCCCCCTCTTTTACTTTCAGACGAGGTGGCAATGACTGGGAATGGTGTGCAAGCCGGGAGAGGCCTCTCCCCCTTCCCCGGTTATATGCCACCCGCCGGGGTCGGGTCAAAAGAGGCGCTTCTCCATGGTGGAGAGGTCCACGAAGAAGGGAGATATCTGAAAGTCTAACTTGAAGATAAATTCATCGGATATGGTAAGGTAGTTTCGGGGTCAAAGGCATTTCTTCTATGCGAGAGATTCGTAGTAAAAATAGAGAATATTAAGATTCCGCCTCCTGCGTGCCGTTGGAGTGCGTGGAGGGGGCGGTGCTCGCCAGACGCGGCTCGGCGGCGGCGACTCGGCTCCGATCGCCGTCGTTTACGACCCAACTTTGCCGCACGCACTTTCGCACGCATATTAACACGGGCAGCGCGGTGCTTCGTGCTCCCCCGCCAGCAGGCCAGGCGCGCTCACCTCCGCCGCGCTCTCGCTCTCCTAGTTTCAACGCGCCCCCGCTCGACCACGCCTTTTTGTTTTCATTTACTTTTTATTCCAAATTTATTTTCGCGCGCAATCTCTCCACCGCGCAAGAGGAGCGGTGGCGGCGGGACGGGAGGGCGAGGGACAAGTTTTCCTCGGGCCGGGCGCTCGCCGCGCTCGCGCGCTCTCGCCTCGGCTCCGCGGCGCTCTCTTTTGTCTCTCCGCCCGGCGCACTTCGGGTCGGAGGAATACAGGGTAGTAGAGATTGGCGAGGGGAGCCGTGAGGTGAGGGGGTGCGATTGCCATGGACGGATGCGCGCGAGATACAAAACTTGGAGGCGTCGGCGGCGTGTTCCCCTTCGCCTCGCACTTATCGAGAGAGCCTCCTTTACTCGAATCCACCCCCCTCCCCGCATGCAGAAGAAGACCAAACATTTTGTGATAAAATATTTTCTTTTTCGATCTTCTTTCGGAATTCCTCTTGGACCCCGCTCTCTCTCACTCACACATACTCTCCCTCTCGGAAAATAAAAAGAAGCGAGAAAGAGAGGGAAAGAGAGCGAGCGCCCGACGTACGACCCTCACACCTCATTTGTCAACGCGGACGCGGCGGAATGGCGCGGGGTGGGGTGGGGTGTGGTGCAGGCAGCTGT